CTGGAATCCAGTTGTCATCCCAGATCCTAGTACCTTTACCATTTCCTATTTTCCTCCTGATGCCATTTTGAACTTCTTTTCTGACAGCTGATAGGCTTTGCCAAATTGATGAAACATTCTGAGGCACTTTGCAATTGAAGATTGATTGTTTGGGATAGTATTTTGCTTTTAAAACTTTACTGACTAACAAGTTTGGTTGTGTTAACAACTTCCAGACTTGTTTGGCCAGTAGAGCTTTATTAAACATTTGCAAGTCCTTGAATCCCATTCCCCCAATACTTCTCTTCTCAGTCATTTTCCTCCAACCAATCTAATGCATCTTTTTCTTCCCTTCTGAATCCCCTCACCAGTAGTCTGCCATTTTAGCACTAATATCTCTACACAGCTTAGTGTGTAATCTAAAACACGATATTGTATAGGTAAGCATGGCCATAGCCACTGCTTTGAGCATTATCTCCTTCCCTACCTGGCTCAATAACTTATTTTTCCACCCTTGCAATTTCTTATCAATGGAGTTCTTAATGAAACCAAACATCGATATGTTTGGTCCAATTTTGAAACGGTGGTCCAATTCTTCATCATTGATATACTACTAACATCGATATGTTTCTTTTTTTTTTTTTTTTTTTGGTTAAGTTTAATCGGATTTTCCGAAACTCGGAAGAGTCCATGAAGTGACGCTACAAGTCGTCCAAATCTGAGCCCGAACTTTCGATATCAAAGTTTATGGGCTAGTTCTTGTGGGTGCAGCATGCTACTTCAACCATGAGTCCTCTGGTAAGGCCCAAACTTCATACGTTTCACGAAAGCACTACTTTGAAGCTGCCATTTGTAGATGGAAAATAATCACTCAGAATTTCTTTGTAAGCTCTTTCCAGAGCAATAGTACTCGTATACATTAAAAAAAAAAAAAAAATCTTTATTTTGAGCCGTTTTAGGCTACTTCCTTTAGGCAATATTCTCCTTACCCAGCATAAAAAATATATATATATATATATATATATATATATATATATAGATTGTTTTAATCCAACCGGACACATACTGTGCTAAAAAACGACAGGTCCACTTGGACAGTAAAACATTAATCGTTATTAGCTTCTTCTTTTTAAGTAATTCCGAGAACTCCGACGAGCATGTGTGTGTGTGTGTGTGTCAAATGAACTGATTCCGAGCGGCGTAAGTCTGTCCAAATTGCCATGATGACGGGACAACGTTGAAGAACTCCAACGTTCTTCCATTGACTAACGTGACTCTGAAAGAAAGCGTCTGGCCTCGAACGTCTACGCTGATTTGCCAGTTTGCACCCCAATTCCTGTGCATGGCCGCCCATGTTCTTGTTCCTGATCCCCTGATCCATACACTCTTGATGTCACCGCCTCCGCCCACGTTTGAAATCATCACCATGTTGAAATTTGATTGCCCCTTCAATGTGAAACGAACTCCACCACTCCTCCTGCAAGACACCCTGAATATTCCAAATTTTATTTTAAATAAAAAAAAAATTGTTTAGTAACATGCAAGGGTACATGTACGTACGTATGCTAATTCCGACAACATGCATCATAGATACAAAATGTTTTTGTAAGAGAATGCCTCAAACAAGTGGCATCGTGGACAAAGTTAGAGTTTGATTCATCCAAACAAATGATAATGATAGGGAAATATTTAGTTGATAACACGTTTCACCATTTTAAATCATAAAAGGATTGTTGGATTGGTACTCTTTTTAAGATTCAAGAAGCAAAAAAGTGCAAAACCACTATGCTCAAAAATATTTGCATGACAAATGGGATTTGCACGGAGTGATCTCACGCATTTTGTGGTGGCAATCAAAGTTTATTTGGTAATTAAAAAGGGTGCGATGTAATTACCTTCTATAAAGAACTGGAACAATGCCTTCGTTGCCTTGTCGCGCTATCCGCAGGAAGGCAGGCATGGACATGTCAAAGTGGTGGCGGGGAGGATCACACCAGCCGCCGTGGTGGTTTGGAGGGCAGAAGTTGGTGGTGGTGACGGTGACGGAAGCACGAGGAAGGCACCACCTCCGATCGAGCCTGGAGTTGCACATAACTTGGTAACAAGCACCACATGCCTCGCCACCTCTGAAGAGTGCACCACTTAAAGCTGTTGTGTACACACCAAAACCTGCCTGATATGTGTTCTCATACCCGCAAGCTCCACCTAACAAAAACATTATCCAACCCAACTTTAATCATCAGAAATTGGATATCTCTGGCCATTACTTAGTGTGCGTTTTCTTATTTTTCTGTTGTTTGTCTCCAAGAGATGGAGAAAAGATTATGCGAAACAGACTTGACGATGCATAACACATTAAAAAGAAGAGAGGATGGAACCTGCATGTGAAAAATCAGTTAAAACAAACACTACAAAATGAATGACATGCATAAACCAAGTCACTGCTCTGTTCCTGAGCGATCTCATCATAAGGGTCCGTTAATTCATTGTTCAGAACAAAATGAGAAACGAGCATCAATCTTAATCTTGCATGATAGAGTTGTATACAACATTAATTATATGCTCAATATTTATTATCCTGGAAAACAAAAGGAAGATTTTTACTCCAAGGATGTTACAGGGAGGAAATCATGCAGAACAACCTAAGAGAAACAAGCGTGTGTTTGCGAGAGTATGCACGAAAGAGTGCTTTCGAGGTTATGGACCTTATGGCATGGTTCATTTGCAATATAAATTGGTCCCATGCAAAAACTTTCTTACCAAGGGTGCCGGGATCTTGATTAATTCCATAAAATGTTGCACGAGCATGAAGCCAACCACGGGCTTCAACATTGATTCCCTCGAAGAGCACGACATTAATGAACAAAAGAAATTGGCAGAGCAAAACACAACATTTTTTGGCTTCCATTTAGTACGAGTTCTTCTCAACTAGAACTGCTTCACAAGCAAAGCAATGCAGTTTGTTGACACTTAATCCTATAGCTACTTGAGTTTCTCGGAGCCTCTCGGCTTATATAACAACCTGAAGGCTGAATATATGGTCCAAGGTAGGACGCGGTTGTCGGTGATTATTATTCAATCAACTTGTGCCCGCGCTACCATTAATGGTGACAGTTTTTGAAGTGCGCGTTTTATCCCACTTCCCTTGAGGTACGGAATTGTACGTACTTGTGCTTCAATATTCTCAGGATCAAGAGCAAGAAAGCACAAGCATGTGCTTCTGTGATGAAAAAGTCATACGTCCTCATATTCTGTTTCATGGTGTACTTGTCGGTGTTTTCATTCTAGATTGGCGTCCATACCAATTAATTCACGGTTTAGGTTCAAATAATCTTACAAAATGAGCGAGTTTAATTAGTGCATTGCTCTGTCCTCCATTTTTTCATAATAGTTAATGCATTATTTTGTTTCAATCTTGGTGTCTGTTCTTAACTGATTTTGATCTTTGAATAGCCAAAATCAGAATTCGAAGGATGGGTATCTTTTAGTCTCTAATTCTGACTTTTCTTCACTTGAAGGAAAAAAAAAAACTAAGGCGGCGAAAAAGAAAACAGTTTGAGAATGTCATATTCCTGGTTTTCTGAACTAAAAGCAAATAAGAATTTGTTCTCAATCGAACCTGCTTTTAGTTCAGAAAATCAGGAATAAGAATTCGGGCTTGAGAGGGTTGTGAAGAGACGCTACTTGGCCTCCTAATACTAAATGATTTTCTCCAAACTAACTAAAGATGTTAGCGGGAATTCGGGGGCTTCTCAAATCTCGTAGGTAGGCAGTGGTCGTACGATAAGTAATGGCTGTACTTCGTTGAGGATGTTCCCTAGGGGATGGTTTGAAGATAAAAGTAATGGGCTTTCATCTTCCTTTTGTCAGCCAAAACCGTGATGAAGAAATAAGTTGATTCAAGATCTCCGTCGCAAAAGGAGGAAAACCAGAAAAGCAAAGAAATAAAACTAGGAACATTAGGAATTTAGCAGGAAGCAAAATAATGTGCAAAAATTTGGGTCCAAATATTTCTAGATATCATCAGCCGACAGCCAATTTAATACAGAAAATTTGCTTTGTTTGCCATGTGCTCCTAAGTTTAATCCGTTTTTGGATTAGTAGTGAACTGGGATTCCATGACAGATGATACCTCACGAACTCAGCCACTACCTAGCTTTCATTTTTAAATGTGATTCGGAATCCTTAACATGCACTGCAGTTGATTTACGAAGAAGAAATCAAAGTCCTGAGATTCTTTGTTCACTTTATCACATGCACAAAACATTAACCTATCAATGTCCGAGGAGAAAGGTTGAATTGGTTGGTAAGGTAAAAAAGGATGTATAAATAGAATGTTTGAATTCAAAACCTTTCACTTGTGTCATCGACAAAGGTGAGAAAGTTCATTTGAAGATGCTAACAACAGTTAGTTTGGACTAATTATACTCAAGCCACTCACAGTCTCAAATACTACCTCTGAAGTCCAAACCAAATCTAAAATAGTTCCACCAGGACAGGCCAAGTTGTTGGGCAGCCTAATACTATAATACATTACCTAATCCAGGGGAGGCGATCCTGAAGTAACATTTAGGGGATGTTTGGTAAATGAGTACGAGGGTTTAAAATGGGACCTGTGCTTATTGTTTACTAGAGTATTATGGGAATCATTTAATGATAATGAAAGTGTTAAATTTTACTCTCTCCTTATTACTTTGGGTATCAAAATAGTTCACTCCTTGGTTCAATGGAACCCATTTCGATTCCAAACATAACATGCAAGGAGAAATTAAAAGGAAAAAAAATACTCATACCATGAAAGGGATTCTGATTCCAATTCCAGAATACAGAACAAACACCCCCTTAAGTATTCATCCAATTCATTGACCTTCTTTTCTTTCCCTCGTATTATTCCAAGAAAATTACGAAATATCTGATTTTGCTAATTAATCTCTTATTCAATCAAACCAATCCGCTGACCTTCTTTGCTTTCCCACGAATTATTCCAAAAAAAAAAAATTGAAACTACAAAACATCTGACTTCACTAATTAATCTCTTATTCATTCAAATTCAAAGACTGACAGGGCATAGTGGTTTTCAAATGTTTCAATCTGCAAGAACCTGTCACTCTGCTATAAAACAACTAGCATCAGGTTCAACTTTAGCATTATTTGGGCTCGCAATGAATTGCAAACTCAGTTTCTAACAGTATCCTTCAACTAGTTGCGTATATGAAGTTAAACAGGCCCACTCAAATCTTCATAAACATTCCTGCCTTGTTCATCAGTCACAATAATGTTGATGTGGAAGATGCGAACCCCCCTTCATCTTTTCCACTTCAAAGTTCAAATGATAAGGTATCCAACTCAGCCACAGGATAACAGCTAAAACAAGATACGAGAGCCACTAAGAGAAACTTCTCACATCACTACAAGAAGGGTGAGTAAACCGGGATGACACCCTTTTTTCTTCAACAGCAGTTCAATCTCAGCTTGATATAAGTTTCTAAGTAACAATACTAGAAGATATATCATGTACAGGAGACAAATGTCGTCCGCCAGGTTTTCATATCCAGCTAAAACCTCTAAATTGCTACATGTATCTAATCTCTGTGACTGTTTTTATAAGGACAGTCTCACAATTTGTACAATTACACAAACAAAACTTACATCAGAAAAGTAGAAGGCATAGCACAAAGCAGCAGACAAGGAAGGAGAGTAAATTCCGCATAGACTTTTCCACCTGCAGCTCCTGCCTTCTCATCCTCCTAGGGCTACCATTTACAGTAGCAGGATGGCTAGAGGAAAACAAACTTGTGCCTGAGCTGGCAAACATCCCTGGAAAAACCATTTCCCCAAACATCACGATAGTTGGACTGTAATAACTGGTCATTGCTGTATTTCCAAATCCAGATGGTCCCATGGATGCATAACCACCAAAAGCATGGGGGAAATATGGCTGGTGATGGAAAGGCTGCAACTGTGGCTGAAAGTACTGCGGTTGTTGAAAAGAATCCGGCTGGGATTGGAACAGATTGGCATGAAGTTGTTGGTGTGAATGAGACCCTATTGATGATGCATTACTGGGTAGAGCATTGATTCCAATAGCAGAGGGCCTCTGTGGTATGGCCAAATCCAGTTGGCACTTCCTCGCTTCAGATTCTGGTGACGATGTTCCACGTCCATAGAGAGGAACCAATAGGGAGTTTGAAATGTCAGTCTTACAGACTGGACATTTTGGCCGTTCTTCAGAGTCGAGGGAGGAGCTCTGAACATGGAGCCATTTGTAAATACAAGGCCAACAATAAAGATGACCACAAAGGGTGACCACAGGGTCATGTGCTGAGTCCAGACAAATGTTGCAATCAAAACCTCCATTTAGATTCTCGGAGGCAACAGTCGGAGCTGGAACTGAATTTGATTTCTGCTTAACTGATTCATCTTCTTCAAATTCGAAACTAATGCTCGAATCACTGAAGAACTGCTCAGAGTCCATGGATCTGTTGAAAATCAGGACAGGTCTTATAAACCTCTTATATATAGCTTGATAGACAACAATAAATTAGTTACTTGACAAGACAGAGACATTCGATTAGTAGATCATCCAAATAGGGGCACGGATATGCGCAGCCAAGAAAAGCCATAACAGGTTGAGGTCAACAAGAAATTGGGGGACATATTGGAGGAAATCTAGGGCATCTTAACCTAGTCAAACGCAGATAACACAAAAAGTCTGAACAAAAGTATCAACAAAAAGTAAAGATGCGTAGAAGTGCATTCAAACAAAGATAAAATTTTCAAAGATGTTAAACACTATGAGATAAAAGCAAATGTATTATATATTGGTGTAAAAGGAAAGGCAATGGCTTGAAGACATGTATCTATGCCAGAATGGCCCAAGTTAATAACATATTCAACACATGCAACCACATAGGAATTGCGTTGGTCCCAGTGTCTCCCTTCTTTTAAAGACAACTGAGCATACATCATTACCAATTGACCCTCAACAAGAAAAAGCAACTATAGTGTGCCTAGGGCAAATGGAGTAGAAAATGGAATCGAATTTAGTCCGAGAACAAAAGTTAAATGCACTCCCACTCTCTCTCCTTCCCTATATACAGCTTGAGATTTTGCCAGGTCCGGATGGAAGATAACGACTTTGTCCTACAAGAAGTCTTGTCCTTCCAATAGGCTTATGCAGCAAAAATAACCATAGGTAAGGATTCTAAGATCCGTATTTCTAGTGATTTGTGATGTAACCTCTGTTGAAACACCAAAAATTTTACCAAAGTTGAGAACTTTTTATCAATATATATATACACACCGCCAAAGAAAAAGAAAAAGGACTACCAACAAACACAGATAAACCTTTACCGTGATCTTCCAGCACGGCAGTCAATAGATCATAAGCTACCACCAAATCCAGAATTCATGAAGAAAGGAACATTCAAAGCCCTCCTAACAGCACTATGTAACAAAAAGCAAGAAAATTTAATTTCATCCGGGACAAAAAAAAAAACACAAGGCACCATTTCAGAAAAAAAGTACGGTTTTTTTTTTTAATCAATTTACTTCATGAGGCAGAGGACTATCAATTACCAGCTGAACAAAATTTTGTTTTTCTTGTTATCAATATAACAATCTAGCTAATTTTACAGATATATTTAGGATTAAAGGAAAAGAAACAAAATATACAAAAGAGTGAGCTAACCAGGAAATCCCTTTAGTCCGGAAATAATCAAACTTCAATTTCGCGGAAATCAAATTTCGCCATCACAAAAACAGTGAAGTATTCTGACCAAGATGTTATTCCTTTTCTTACCAAATAAACTAAAAATCCGTGCCATAACTTACAAAACAAGCCACAAACACTTTTTCATTTCAATTTTTCTCAGATAAAGAACGGATCATATTTTTCTCTCATAATTCCCAATGATCTGTATAACAAGAGAATAATTCCCAGAAAACAAAAGGATACAAATAAGCCAGACATAAAGAAAGAAAAGCCTACCAGTCAAGATGTCAGAAGAAGATAAGCTGAAGAAGACTTTGCAATGTCTATAAGGAGAAAAGGGGGCCGGTTTTCTTTTATATTTTGCGTCTGTATTTAAAGATAAGATAAGAAATCAATGAATGTGGAAGTAAAATTGAAATGGGCTAGTGAAGGGAGGCCGATCAAATGAGGAAAATTAAGGGGAAGATATAAGGGGAGGAAAAGTTCAGGAAATGGGGAAGGAGGATGGAATGTGGTGGCGGATGAGGAGGAGGAGGAGGAGGAGGCGAAGAGGGAGAGTGGAAATGATATGGTGGAGAGCAAATAGTGGCGAAGAAATATGAAATGAATGAAAAGATTGTGAAAAACTGAAAATGGCTGTTTAATATAAAAGCCCAAAGGCGATATAGGGTTATAGCCGCGTAGCTGTTTGTTAGGTTGCCGTGGGCACAGGTATGGTAGGAGCCTAGAATTGTGATCAAAATTAGTAAAGTCTAGTAGCTTTTATTTTTTCAATTAATACCTTTGGATCGTGCTACGCATCAGGATTTTGATTACCTCTGAGTATTTATAATCTAACTGTTCTTGGGTTAATTTCGACTTGTTGGAAGTAGCTTTTATTTTGTCAGCTGGGGGTTTGTTTGGATAGGATATTATTTAAAATATTAATTTGTTTGGATTGTGAATTATTAGAGATATTTTTAGTGTAGCACTTTTTGTGATGTGATGTATGTGAGATAAAAAGGTAATTGAAAAAATAAAAAGGTGTGTTGGAAATTGTAATGATAATGTAAGCAAATATATTTTGGCAAATAAATAATTACTGTAGTACTTTTTGTGATGTGATGTATGTGAGATAAAAAGGTAGTTGGAAATATAAAAAAGTGGATTGAAAAATGTGTTTATGATGCAAGCAAAATATTATTTGGGGTAAGTTCACTATCCAAACAAAAAAAATGACTCAAAATATTATTCAATTTTGTGTGTCACACTCAAACATTTAATTTATGCAAGTAGTAATTTATTAAAATGACTAACGGAAACATTTATTTTTTATAAGTTTTTAAAGTAAAAAAACTGTGTGTCTATGTCAAATTAACCTATGCAAGTAGTAATTTATTAAAAAGACTAACAGAAACATTTATTTTATAAATTTTTCCCTTTTTAAAATTAAAAAAAAATTTGCTTCTATCTGAAATTAACCAGGATTTTAGCGTTTGAAGATTTTGATCTTCTCGTTATTTATAATTCATTAATGACTCGAAATTTAACCTCATAGAATTGTTCATTTCATTCGATTTAGATCAGTGCCTCGAATTAATCTATTTTCTCTATTCACAAAATTCATCTAAAAGCCACAAAGTTTCACAAATTAAGACACTAAATTGAAACGTAGAAGTAAATTTATTTTTCACCCATATATGATTGTCAATGCCGTTGATCCATATGAATCATGTTAAAGTTGTCGAAAAGTTCAAAAAATATTAATTCATTAAAATCAATTTCTATAATTTTAATTAAGAGCAGAAAAAAGTACACCAAATAAAAAAGATGGACTCGTCGCAAAAGCTTATATGTATGTATGTATGTATGTATATATATATATGTGTGTGTGTGTGTGTGTAAAGAAGAAACTACAATACAAATTCGATGAAAAAGACGGGTGGGCCCTTGAGATTGGGCAGGCATTTCTTCCTAACTTGTGCGTACTTGTCTACTTGATTAAGTAAATTGAAGAGAAGGCAAGGCCTATCCACTTCCTGAATATGGTACATGTTTTTTCCCTCTTTCTGATGGTGAGCAGGTTGGGAAATTAGAGATTGAATACGGTACTTGGTTATCTACTTCTTGATTATTTCTATTATGTTACTCAAGTGCAGAAAAAACATACCCAATTAAAATGACGAACTCATCATACAATTTTTTTAATATATAGTATATAATTAATCTTTTATATACTAATGATATATATTTTTATCATTAAATATATAATATATAATTTAAATCTAAATTTTACATATATTTTATATATTTAATTGTAATAATATATATAAGATTAACTGATATCTACACACACACGTGTATATATATAAAAGTAGAAGCTACAAAATTGATAATTGGTGGAAAAGACGGGTGGGCCCTTGAAAGTGGGCAGGCGGCGTGCTTTGCTCCTTTTATTCCTAACTTGATTAAGTGAATTGAGGAAAAGGCTTATCTCCTTTTAAAGATGCAATTTTTTTTTTTTCATTTTTCTGGTGATGAGCAGGTTGGGAAATTAGAAATTGAATATATAGGTGGGGTCGGGATGGGGACCACTTTGGTGGAAGCAACAAAAAAAAAAAAAAACTTAACTTAAATGAAAAAGAAAAAGGAGGGATGGGTAGGACTCCACCAAGCTTTGTGCACCGTCGGATCATTTTTGATCTAACGACGTCTGTCACCCGTGAAGTCAGCATTATGTCACCCTGTTGACTTCTGGTGCTATGCTACGCTACTAATAATTTTGAATCCACTAGTTTTTCGAATATTATAAAAAGTTTTTAAAAAACACTCTAAAATGTAATTTATTTTTTTAATATTTAAAATATACTTTAAAAATTTTATTACTCTTAGATATTTTAAAACATATTCTAAAAATATTTCAAAATATATTTTAAAAACTCTGTTGTAGTAAAATTTTTCAAAAACACCTTAAAAAATAACTAATTAAAATTGAGCCAATTTTTAACGTCTTTTTATCATTTTTCCTTAGGGCAATTTCCATGTAAACTCCTAAGATGAACACAATCGGAAATGACAAGTGTGCTTTGGTGATATTAATCACATCACAAAATGATTTGCGATAGGTTTTCAGAAAATGTATCGTAGTAATTTGAAATGCATGACATAAAAGGATAATTGAAAAATATGTTTACGTAAAAATTGTTGATGAAAAATGGCTATCTAAACTGGCTTTTTCCTAAATAAAGTGACCAACACAGGGCTATGCATAAATGTATATGGTTATCGAGTTTACCGTGCCACTCGTCATTGAAAATGTGCTGAAGCATAAAGAATAAGAATGAGGAAAGGTATTAGCATATTATTGTCTTCCTAATCAACGATCACATGGCACAACATGATCTCAGGATGTGTTTACATTGGCACGGAATCTTAAGACCCCGTTTGGATTGTATTTGGTAGTTTTCTAAAATAATAATGTAATATTACGTTTTTGTGATGTGATATAATGGCGTGAAAAAATATTTTCAAAATAACCAAAATCTTTTTTGAGCAATACAAACAAGAATTTAGGCCAAAATTTTTGCCTTTAGGGATTCATGCATTACTTTTCTTAATACTTTTTTGCGCATTCCTCAAAATATCATTTCAACAATGAGAATCTGAATACTTGGAAAAAAGGCCTTGTTTGGATAGTAATTTTTCTGAAAAATTACTACGTTAAAATTACTACGTTTTCTCTGAACACATTTTTTAATTATTTTTTTATTTTATATATTTATATATTAAATTGTTGTAATAATTTTTCTTAAAATATCCAAAAAAAAAATTCCAAACTAATCGTTTTACTGATCATGCGAGAAGAACCAAAGCTGAGAGGCTAAACGCACCTTAAGACCAGAAGACGGATGATGTCCTTAGGGCTTAAGAGTAGGGCCACACTAATTAAGATGAGACTGCCGTCTAACACAGTAACACAACGCAGAAAGGAATCTTTCACCGCCCAATATGGATGAGACCGACGGCTCTTGTCCTTTCATTTGTTTCGTGTCGGCGAGAACGTACGAGTGGATGCCCCGACAAAAACCGAAAGTTTTCTCGTCTTCAGAGGTTCTGTTTGAATAGAAGATTATTTGAACAAAAAGCTTCTAAGCAGCTTGTATGAACAGGATTGGCCTTTTTATAACCTGAATTTCTATGGTCTAAATATTTATGTAATGGGTTCAAAATAAATTTTGTTTGGACAGTCATTTTTTTTAAAAAAAAAATTATTATATTTTTTGTAAATATATTTTTTAATTATTTTTTTATCTTATAAATATTAAATTTTTATAATAATTTTTTAATAAAAAAAATTTAAAAATTACAATCCAAACAGAACCCTCGGATTCGATTTTTTCTCCCAGGTGACGTTGAAACAGAAAAAGTTTCAAAGCCAAGAATTGACGGTCAAGAAGAGGAGAAACATTTACATGGCTGCCATTGGATTACGTGGTAGGATGGGAACATCATTATAAGAAACTCGATCATATAACAGAGAGTGTTGAGGCATGATTGTATTGTATTGAGGATCGCTGACAACCATTTTTGTCCCAAACTCGATCTCCCTCATCTTATCGGTTCACAAGAAGAAGCACAGAATAATTATAATGGTTGCAGCAGCAGGGTAAACGCCTGCAATTTAAAATGACAACTTGATGTGACGTAGTATAGCGGGCATAGTAAAGGCGAGTGAGCGCTCCCATGGATAAGACTTCGACGTCTGAACATACAGCCCAGCTGTTTTTGACGTTGAGTGCTGGTAGTGGTAGCCTACTGCTTCCCTCTTCGTTGATGATGGAGATAAGATAGCAACCGACTTTATCCTTCTCTTCTTTGTTTAGATCTTTCAATCATTTTTGCCTGAGCCAGCTTTCTCGGCAAGTTTTGGTTGGTTGGTTGGTGATACACTACTGTCAGAACAATAATTTATTTTCCTATCAACTTCATATATTTTCATTGATTTTGTTAGACCCATTTATCTACTAATAATTACTCTTTTCTCCTCTTTCTAATCAATTGACTAGTCTGCAAATTTTTTTTTTTTGTGCTTTCTTTAATTTATTTACTTGTTATTTTCATAACTCACTCATTCAATTTTAACTTTTTTACCATAATCTTTTATTATATTGTAATTCTTTTTTTTATTTTTAAAAGTTGTGTTTATAAGTTATTTTTTGCAAATACAACATGATTTAACTCAAGCACTCTAAGTGAAGATAATCCAAAAAGTGTAGGTACCGTACACCATGATTTAACTCAAACAGTTCAAATGAAAATAATCCAAAAAAGTGTAGGTACACTTTTCCTTCAATATTCACGTGTTGAAGTCAAGATGTAGACACACTTTTTCCTTCAAAAAATGTAGATTAAAATGACTTTGATCTAGATATTAGAAAATAAGGATAGGTGACGAAGTCAAGAATTATCAACTTAAAAAATAGAAAAAAGAAAAGAAAACAAAAAATCCAACAATATTGCTGTAACAAATATTACTCAAAAAATTGCGAACTTGAAATTTACTATAATTGCATCCCAAATTTAATCAAAATTTATGATCACTCCAAAAACTGTAATCATAGATTATTTGATAGAAAATATAATGGAATAAAAGCAAAAAGAAAAGAAAAAATGCAGGAAAAAACTTACCAATAGCAATAGAGAAATAATAAGAGTACTCTGAAGCGGAGAAAATTTTATGCAAAAGGTCTTAAACCACATACTGCAAAGGTTTTCAAAAAAATCAAAAGAAATTGTAAAAAAGATATCAAAAGCCAG